CTGGAACTCAGTGTTCAGTCACCCTGTAGTCAAAAGACAGGTAGTGAGAATCAGCCGAGGCCAACTTCCACGGAGCACGTCAGGACGGAAAGCTGAATCACGCCCCACTGGAGGCTGTGGCAACGGGGAAAACCGGGGCCAAAGTGCCAGGGAGGCCAAATTTCCTCTATCAACGTCCATGCAGAAAGGGGGGAAGGGAGGGAAACTCAGATTTCCCAGCAGTGTGGCAGGTCTTGGCACCGGCCTCGGTTCCCCTGCCGAACTTCCACAAATAAACATTCAGAGCAGAAGGGACAGATTTGCTTCTCAGCAAGATTTCAAAGCTGTGCACCAGAGTCAGAGAGAAAACAGGAAGGATCTAGAGGGAGGAGAGGAGGAGGGGCAAGCAGCCTTAGGCCAAATCAGATGGGAACCGGCCCAACCCCTCACCCGAAACTGACACACCATTTTTTATGAGGTGTAAACCTTTCAGGCAGTGCTGGCTGTCGTTTAGGTAGACGGCGGGCCCAGGTCGGAGCTGCTGGGTTTCAGGCTGGGGGCGGGAAGCCTGCGAGGCCACAGGTGAAGACAAGCTCTTTCAAGCTATCTGGAGGCAGAGAAACCTAGAGGGGCTAAATCTCCTTGGAGAAAATCCAGCCACCTGGCTCTTGCTTCTCTCCCAGCCACCTAGGTCACTGGCACCCACGCACTCTGTGTGTGTGTGTGTGTGTGTGTGTACATGTGGGGATGGGTAGAGTAGGGTTCGTCATGGGTACTGTATTTGGATTGAGGATGACAACTTCTCATCACCAAGGGGCCGAGGGAAAACACAGCTGGCTCTGGTTGGTGCTGGCCCCAGCCCCCTCCCAGAGGCGCTCAGCAACCCGGGTCCCTGGGTCTGAGGGATTGCACTCTCACCTCACACATATCCCCAGTTCTTTATACAACAGGGGCAAATGTTGTCACAGTGGTTTACCGAAATGGTCCCTCTTTGTTAATGAGCACCGGTTCGGCATTTAATAAAACCTCAGTTCTACACTGGTGTATGTGCGTGTGAGAAACTGCCCGGAGAACAGAAGGCACAGCCTCCCCGTGTGGAGCGAGGTGGCTGCGTGCCAGCCAGCTGCAACAACAGCCAGGTCACATGGAGGTCTGCCTGGCCCCATGGAGGCCTGCCTGGCCCAGGCCCCGCTCAGAGGTCCACCTGAGGGTCTGCGGCGATCAGAAGTGACCACTGTTATCCTCAGTCTGAGCACATATTAGTACATATGCATTGTTAATGTTGAGCCTCCATTTCCATTTGTCAAGTACATTTCGAGGAAAAAGTACATTTCGAAGATCACCAGAAAGGGTGCTTGTCCTCTAGGCTTGGGGCATATTTGTCCCAGTCTGGGCTTCCTCCACAGAGACACACCGCAAGAAGGGGTAGAACTTGGAGGCCTGTACTTCCTTTTCTAGGCATCTTGGGGGCTCCTTGTCTGCTTTTTTTCACTGTTGTTGGTCAAGCAGATTTTATTTGATTAATGCTAACAACAAAGGCTGGGGTTTAGCACTGCCACCCAAAATTAACTGTGACCCTTTCATCCAGATGGCCATGAAATCTTCAAAGAAAACCAGGGGGGACCAGACAAAGGGGTGGGCTGCAAGGTATCGGGCCCCTGATTTCAGCAAGGGCAGCGGATAGAACTACTGACTACTTTCCTTGTTGACTTGAACCAGCAGCTTTTCCCTGCCAAATATTTGTCAATGGTTTCATTCCATTGCATCTAGTTAAATACCAAGAATCAGCTCTGATAATAAAACCACATTTTTTAGAAGAAATATCCAGAAGACGCTCAGAATCGCTTTGTCTTTTTCTCCTTGAATGTGTTGCTGTATCTTGTTTTTGTGGGCTGATGAAAACAATGTCATCATCTTATCATCATCATTCATTTTACCTTCTTCAGATTTTCATTTATCAAAAAATGGCTGCCTAGAAGTTGGTGTGGGGGACCTGCTCTGGATGGTCTTCTCAGGAGTAGTGGGAACAACCGAAACCTTTTTTTTCTCCTTCAAGTTCATACAATCTGAAGCATTTTCTACCATTTTATGTAAAGTCAATGAAGCAGAACTATAATCATTTTCTTTTTAATCTAATTTCTCCCAGGGTAATTGTGCTTTCTGTTTAAATCTCTCCTTACGCAAAGCTTTTGGAGAAGAGTCCGGCTCTGATAATGCAGGCTCACTGCTGGCAACAATGGGGTTAAATGCACATCCGGCCTTCTGAGCTGTTCTTCATGTCCTTTTTCAGGTGATATTAAAGTGACAAAAAGTCATCAAAAGGTAGTTGTTCATTGTTTCACCCACTATTTTGGCAACACCTTCAGATTCCAACTCCACCAACGCCTGGCCTCGCCGTTTCCAGTCCTTTTACTTCTGGACACTTGGGACCTGTGCCGGTGCCAAGCTGGGAGCAGCACTCTCAGGGCTGAGTCTGCTGAAGCGCTGGAGCTGAGAGGCCCACACAGCTCCCTCCAGGAGTTAAGGTTTTCTTTTTCCTGTCTCTGGGCAAGCCTGGCCACTGCCATCTGAAACGTAGCTTCCTGCTGAGTTTTCGGGGGACAGGCAGCTCGTGGGGCCACAAAGACTGGCTGGGGGGCCACAGCTCATCTGCTTCCTTAAGAGAAGGGCAGGAGAAGGCACCTCCACAGCACCCATGTCTCATGGGTGATCAAATGAAAGTGCTTCAGAACCATAGAGGCATTTGGGGTTCTACTGATGTTACCATCATCATCATTATATAGTTATATTATTGTTGAGACGGTCAGTTGCATGCCTATGCTAGGTCAGTAATTCTCAGCCCTCCTTGGACATTGGAAGGAGCTGGGAAGCTTTTGAAAATAGTCAGTGGGGATTAGAGTTTCTGGAGGTGGGAGCGGAGCCCTCAGTGGTTCTGGAAGCTCCCATAGTTCAGTGTTCAGCCAGGCTGGCTACTGCTGGCCTGGGGTCGCACGTCGCCAGAGTTGGCCTTTCTAAGCCTGGTTGCCAGGATGTGGCCTTCTGCTTGTTTCAGGGGCGACTGGGGGGTGGGGAGGGGTCAGTGTAAGCCGATGGCCATGGCTGGAACCCTGACCTCTGCACAGTGCTGGGTCCCTACAAGCTGCCAATTCAGATTTGAAAGATGAGCACATGCAGAAGAGGTAGGTACTCATGCAGGACCCATTTCTAGTCAGAGAAGGTGCAAGGTCAACGTGGTTTTCTGGGTCCCCTGCAGGGAATGCATGCAAGGGCAGGAGCAGAGACTTTCTGGTCTTTCTTGTCTGATAAATACTTTGGAACCAATGACCTGAGTTTTGGGTCCAATTCCACATGGCAAGTCCAGGTGCCCCTTTATCCTTCCACATCCAGACCTGCCCTCCCAGAATAACTGGTCATGTCCTGAAGCTTTATTTACCTGTCAGTCATCCAGGTGCTTGCAAAGCACCTCACCTGTTCATGTTTATTAAGGCCACAGGCTTTAGAATCACCTAAGGAAACATGGCAGGTTCTGGAATCTGCCCCTTTCACGTGGCCAGAGGATTGAGTGGCAGGGGCACCCAGGAGCCTCCAGCAGCTCTAAACACAGGTGCAGGTCTCCCAGCTGGGTTGGTGACCGGCTGCCCAGAATAAGGATCATTATGGCCTTACACTTCTGTCTGCTTCAGAAAGAAAACCAAGGAGTGTGTCCAAAATTGGTTTCCTCTGGAAACTTCCAGCAGAGGAGTTTGAACCACAGGCTTTTCATTCTCCCTACATTATGGGGCCCCAAGAGGACTTTCCAGGGTTCCTGTGCCCTGGGTAGTGTTGGTTGGGCCCCTCTCCCTCTTGTATGCCAGGGAAGGCCTCTCTTCTTATTAGCTGAACTGTAGATCAACATTCCAAGGAAAGTCACACGTGGAAGAGGCTGAAGTGTGAATGCCAGGAGCTATGGGGTCTGCTTTAATTTTAAAATGTTTTCAGTTTCCCTTTTATAACAAGCTGAAAGTGGGTTTTCTAGAGCTTGAGAGAGTAATCATAAAAAGACAAATTTCTCAGTTGGTTCTCAGTGAAAGGCCCTGTCCACAACAATGTGCCAGAAATTAAGATGTAGGAGAAAGGAAAAAGAAAAAAAAAACAATACAAAAATCAAAGAGTAAACACACAATTCAATCCTCTCTGAACCTAACCCCAGAGTCTAATTTTGAGTGTTTTGTAAATCTTGGCCCATATGAGCCCATCAGAAACACTTAAGGTAGTAGGACAGATTCTGGGCCCAGACCAGCCCTCCTGAATCAGTTTCCAGGCTGGGAATTTGGAATTTGCTTTTTTCACTTATTTTCATATACTCTGATGTGTGAGAGCTGCTGCTCTGGAGAGCCACTAGCAAAGGAGATATCATCAGGTCCTGAAAAGTCTGTCTGGGATGCAGTTCTAGAGGGTTGAGCTAGATCAGGGCCTTCTAAACTTTTGAGACTAGAAAATTTCTTTGTCATTTTTACCTCTCTAGAGGAACCATTGGGGCCAAGAGCAGATCTAGAGAAGTGAGTGTGAAGTTCTCATTTATTGAGATTTATGAAATGCTGTGTATATACTTTTCCATGTACCTTTCCCCACCAGTCTGTAAAGTATTATATTTGTTCTATATGTGAGCAGGAAAGGTCAACCGTCTTGTCCATAATCACCTGGCTAGGAAATGGTGAGGTGCAGAGTAAAACCAGGCCTCCTTCTGCTTTGTACACAGCTAGCGGTGGTAGAGCAGACTTAGCCTCCATCTGGAGTAGACTCAGACCCGCATCAACCTCTACCCAGGGGTGGCCCTACCAGGGACTCCTTGTGCCTGGGCCACAGCTCTGAATTACTATCAGTCAAGATTCCTTGGTCTTTGAGCCTGGAGCTTCCTCAAAGACTGTCTTGAACACCAACATCCCACATTTGCAATTCATGAATTCCCAATGGCCTGCCCCAGCCCCCAGTGCCCCCAGAAATTACTTTCTAAGGGACAAACAGCTAAGCCCCTCCCTTACCACACGGAAGAGCTTGAAGACGTCCACACTGGCATACAGGGTGTCTTCCATCCACTGTAGGGTGCCCTGAGAGAGCGGGCACAGGGCTTCACGCACCGTCCTAGCCCCACGTCGCTGGCTAAAGATCAGGAAGCGCCCTAGGAGGGCCTCACTGCAGGCAATGTCCTTGAGCAGCAGGTCCGGGACCCCATGAGCAAACTGCAGGGGGAGAAGCAATGCTGGAAATCTCCTTGTGATGGAACACCAGTGCCCCCCAAAGATGTCCATGGCCCAACCCACAGAATCTCTGGATATGTACAGGGTGTGGCAAAGAGTATTAAGATTATGGCATGAAGGTTGCTACTCAACTGACTTGAAGACATCTCTTTGTCTTATCTTTTGACCCCAATAGAGTCCCCAGAAGTCCTCCAAGTGTGGGAAGGCAGAAGAGTGTCAGAGTAACGGAATGTATGGAAGAGTTGACTCACTGCTGCTCTTGAAGATGAACAAAGGCCACCAGCAAAGGAATGTGGACCATCTCTGCAAGGCAGCAAAGATCCTGCAGAAAGGAATGCAGCCCTGTGGCACCTTGACTTTCAGACACTGACCTCTGGAATCGGAAAATAATAGATGTGTTGTTTAAAGGAACTAAAGTTTTTGGTAATTTGTTCCAGCAGCTATTGGAGTCTAATATACTCCCATGGTGCATTTTATCAGAGAGCCATTTAAATTTTTTAAAAGATTTATTTTTTATTTATGCATACAAGAACTGGGGTCCAGGCCAGAGGTGGTGTGTGTGTGTGTGTGTGTGTGTGTGTGAGAGAGAGAGAGAGAGAGAGAGAGAGAGAGAGAGGATTCACCAGAGACAGAGTAAGGAGCAGAAAAGGCAGATTGACTGAAATATACTGCTGAGGGGAACAGCAAGGAGACAGGAGAGGTCTGCTGCGCCATATGAGTCAGCTCCCTGGCCGGGATGGAACTCGTGCTGCAGTGGCTGGTGATAGCTTCATAGTGCTGAGACTTAACCCCTTGCACCACAGGAAGGGCCCAGCCATTTAAAATTTGAGAAATACCTTCCTAGCACCAGGTTCTTAGATGCCTTTAGGACTTACTGCCCCAAGCTGAGGCAAGAGGGGCTAGACCACATTTGGAGTGATTTCTTCTCTCATCAGATTCAATAAATAGAAATATTGGATATCAGGTTAAATTGGAACTTCAGTTAAATAACACATAATTTTTTTTTGTAGAGTATGTTCCAAATTGAATCCAAAAGGATTATGCAACTGAAAAATCCTATTTATCTGAAATTCAAATGTAACCAGTTAGCCTGTATTTCGTCTGATGACATTAACCCTCAGGTAGCCCACATCTCACAGCCCCGGTGGAGCTTGTGACAGCCACTCTTACAGCATAATTCCCAGAAAGGCCTCTAGATGCTAAGGGGGACTCAATCCTGGCCAGGGACCCTTGGCCACGGCACAGCAACTGGCCTCTGGAGTCCTGGACTGCCAACAGTGGACAAGACCTGTGTATTTCAAATCAATTCACAGCCCCACACCCCTTGGTTTCCAATTACACAGCCCTCTGGGCTGGAGGACAGAGTAGGTCCAGCCTTTACTTTTCCCCTGCATGGGAATTGCCCAGCTCATACGCGGAAGCTGGTGTCTAAATGACAGAGCACGGTCGGGGCAGTTGGACTTCTTCAGTCTCTAGCTGGGTGCGTGTTTCAGACCTCACCTCACTTCTCAACCCCAGGCAAAAGCCCCACCCTCAACTCTAACCCCAGAGTCTAAAACATTTTGAGATGGATCAAATCAATGAGTTCATTGAATCCAAACCTCTAATGTTCTAGAGAAGTAATAACAAAGAAGTTAGAGGTATGAGAAAAATCATACAACAGGAAATCTGGGTCATCACAAAACTCTCTGGTTCATTCTCTCCTACTCACTGAATTCCCTTCACACTGGCACTAGATAGTGGATACAGAGCAAATCCACCCCCACCCCACCCCCCAGGAGCTTACAGCTGGCTGGAAATGCAGGCATGTAAATAGCTATAAATGTGAGGCTGAATACAGTGAAACCAGAGCACAGAGGAAGCTGTGCTAAGAATGGCTAGTAAAAATGGCTCGTATTTATAGGGTGTTTATTGTGTGCTGTGTACTGTTCTAAGTGCTTTACAGGTACTGATCTTTTAACCCCTAGAAGCACCGTATATAGTGCTTTTATTATCTCCATTTTACCAATGAAACAGAGGCACAGAGTGGCTAATTAATTTGCCTGAGGTCACACAGTTTACTGTTACCAGCTAAAATTTGAACCCAGAGCTTGTACTTCCCCATTTCCTATTAGCTCTTTGTCCAATAAGGAAGGGTGGGGACAAGACAAAGACCATTCACTGAGGAGTCGACAAAATAAGTTGGCCCAGAAGCATGTCCAGAAGTTCACAGGGTTATGGTAGGACAAGAACAGGCCAGAGAACTGTACCTCTCTTTTTGCCTAATTATCTCCTAGAGGAGTTGGTGGATGTAATTCCCCTTCAAGCTATGCTCAGATACCAGGCAGAAAGGGCCAGGAGAGGTATTCAGTCCTGATGGCAAAAATCTCATATTTGGAATGGATCAGTTACAGAGATTTACAAGCCATGTGTGGTTATTGCAACTTAAAATACAGTAAATCCTTAAACAACATCAGCTTAAACTACTTGGGTCCACATATGTGCAGAATTTTTTCTTTCTGCAATTCCAAATTCATTGGTTCAATCACTGGGGAAGGCTGGTTGGGTGAACCCAAGAATGAGGAAGTCCTGGTTACCGAGGGCTTACTATCAGGGACTTGAGCATGCACTGGTCTGGGGATCCTTGGAGGTCCTGAAACCTAAGTCCCACAGACACCAATAGGTGATGACAATCAAGTTTTGGGAGAGTCCAAAGTTATACTTGGATTTTTGACAGCTTAGGGGCCTAAGAGTCAAATGTAATAAAAACATTGTAAATTTAGGTCTCCAGCTACACCAGACCCATCTCAAGCACCAGCCAACCACACTGCACAGCAGGAGAGAGTATGCGGCCATCACAGAGGAAAGTTCTCATTGTGGGCAGTGAGATAGTAAGGAGAGATGAGGAGACAGGCCAAGGCAGGGTTGACAGGCAGCCGCAGAGGGAGCTCAGGCAACGTGAACAGAAACTCTAAGCTCTGGAGCATAAACTCTAAGCTCTGGGATCTGCTGGTTGGGGAAGGGTTAGCTAGCCAGAGCCAGCAACACTAAATAAAGGCACAACCCAGTGACCCCAGCTTCTTTTCTCCACATGAAAGCCCTCAAGCCCGATGCCAGCAGCACAGCAACTGTGCTATGGTCCAAATATCACATCACCGAGGAACTGGAAAGAAATTCCCCCTAAATTCCTGCCCTTATCTCCATCTCCCTTTTATTACCAACTGGAAGTCATCAGAGGCCTTTCCAGGACTTGCGTTTTATGAGCTGAAGAGAAAGCAGAGGGAAAAATGAGCAATCAGCGGTGCTGTCACCTGCCTTGGGTGGGGATGGAGGGGAAGCAGAGCTGGGCCCAGGAGCCAGGCCTGACTCCAAGGGCCGCGCAGGAGCCACTGCAGCCAGGGCCTGGACCCTGAGGTCACCAGGCCTCCAGGGCCACAGCACGCTGTCTCAGGCTGTCCCTCGCCTCCCCTTGTCTAGTTTCAGTGAAAACCACAGGGCTGAGAAGCCAGAAAAGCAGGTATGGGCTTCTTCATTGTTGTACAGGGAACTTGCTCACCATCCCCTTCAACAGACCCAAACAGGCGAAGGGGCTCCGCTCCCCCCTCCTCTATGCTCAGACAGCACCGTGCAGATATTTATCTCAAGAATGACATAGCCCTGAGGTTCTCTGTTTACGTCTCAGTCTCCCCTGGAATCTGGAGGTGCAGACCTGGCCAGGAGAGGTGGCGGGGTTGGGGGTGGGGGTTCGGGAGTTGTTGGGTGGGGGATGTCTGCTCCATGGACCTCTTCTTATCTTGCTTTCTCACTGTGTTCATCACTCAAGGGGCCCACACGCCCAGGCCCCAGAGTCCATGAGGAGTCCATGAGGCCCCAGAAGACAGCCTGTCAGTATCAGCTAGAAGCCTGCTAGAACACAGACCACTGTCAGTCTGGGGGACCCTGAGGACCTGCATTCCTAACAAGCGCCCAGCCCCACTCATGTGACTGGTTTCAGACCTTGAGACCCTCTGCACTGGGGTAAGAATGAGGCTGGGATTCTGCTCCAGCTCTGAGTTTCTAGCTCTGTAACTATGTGCATTGCAAATGCCAGCTGCCTCAGTTTCCCCATCTGTTTGATCCCTCTCATTATTAACACAAGAAACACATGAACTGACAAATTTGGGGGTTATGTCTTAGTGGTAAAAATGCTCTGAATAAATGTGGAAATTATGAAAACAGAACAAATAGATTGGGGGTGGCAAGAAGTAGATCAGGATGTGCAAAGGGACTAGAAGGAGTTTACCTGGCACTGAGAAGAAAAGGAGCCTGGAACTAGAGGTCCAGACTGTGAGCTGCTGCTGTCACACTGTGAGCGGGGAGGGTCATCTTGGATTTTTTTTTTTTTAAAGATTTTTTTATTTATTTGTACATACAGAACTGGGGTGCAGGCCAGAGGCTCAGGGGCGGTGAGAGGCTTCACCAGAGACAGAGTGAGGAGCAGAACAGGCAGATCGACGAAGTACACTGCTGAAGGGAACAGTGGGTGGGTCAGGAGAGGTCTGCCACGCCATGTGGTCACCTCCGGGGCAGGCGGGAATCGAACTCATGCGGAAGTGGCTTTTTAGCTTCTCAGTGCTGTGCTTTAACCTGCTGCGCCACCAGCCCATCTTGGATTTTTAACACACCACATGGCCAGTTTCTGGCCCAAGGCTGCTTCCCTAGGTTTTTGCAGGGCTGCCTGTCTGCTCCAGGATCATCGCCTCAGAAAGGCCTTCCCCGACCATCTCATTTAAAATTGCCCCAAATCCCACACCCAAGGCCCTAACTCCTGGCCCTGCCAGCTTTTCCTCCCAGTGTCTTTCACTCTGGAAACACATGAAATCATGTGTTAGCTGATTATCATCTATTGACCGCCCTCTGGGCTGTAAACTCTGGCCAGCAGGGCTCACCTAAACCTAACAGGTCCCTACATATTCCACAAACCTTGGTCTTCTCAGCTCTCAAAGGAGGTTGAGCCTACCATCTTTCAAATTTCTTCAAATTGTTTTAAATGTGGTCAGGCTTTGTGCCACTCTAGCATCTCCGGAGGGGAACGCTCGCCAGTTGAGGCATTTCTCTGAATATGCCCCATGAACCATGGACCCAGAATGAGAAAGCAAGAAGGGAACAAGAGCTGACTTCTCCGACCATTCTCAGGAGACCTTTCTCACCTCTTCCCTCTGAGCACCGCAGAACAATAACATCCCCCTACCTGTTCTGGACGGACTTGAGAGGTGACCAGAAGGTGGACAACCGAGTCAGAGAGGCCAATGCTTTTCGTGAGAAAGAGTGTCAGTGTTTCTTCATTTTTGAGGATATCCTGGATTCGTATTCCTCTTCCTGTATGTGGGTGAAAGAAGAGGGTGTTGAGGGGAGATGGGTCAAAATAGGGGAAATGGCTAAAATGGATCGGAAACATTTCTAGCTTGACTATCAGGAAAAGGCTCTGTCCTTGAGTCCCCTGGGAGTGCCAGGCACTCAAGCTGTCACCAACACAGTTGCAGCATCTACTGCCAAAGCAGCTAGAAAAATTGAGTGAGAAGGCACAAGGAATGGAACAGTGAGCTCTGGGCATGTGAGTGGGTGGTCAGATGTTCGTGGGGTTGGTCTAGGTCAGTGGCTCTGCACAGGGAAGCGGGAGGAGATGGAGGGAGGCAATTTTGCCCCCGTGGGAGCCTTTGGCAATATCTGGAGACATTTGGTTGTCACAGATGGGGAGGCGCTGGTGCTAGAGGCCAGGGAACATCCCCAAGTGCACAGGGAACCTCTCTCAAATCAAAGAACTGCCTGGTGCAAGGATCAGCAAGGCTGGGGCTGAAACAGGTCTAAGCTCGGAGGAAATTCATGCTGAGTTCACACCGCAGTGGTCCTGGATTTGAAGACCCTTGTTGGCATCTGTCACCCCGGTAAAGGCACTAGGTTTAGGATGTTGACATGACTAAGGGAGACGGGGCCTCTCGGGCAAGCAAAGCTTAAAGTGGGAGACAGGGAATGACCTATTTGCCTGGATTGCAGTTTCATGTCCTGATCAAGCCCAATCACATTCTCTCTAACTCCACTCAAAATGTGCCACAGGCAGAAATTTCTTTTTAAGGAGACTGCAAGAACTCCTAACAATGAAGGTGACCTTGGGGCAAGTGATGGAAATGCTCTGTGTCCACATTTTCCACAGCTACCTCACAGGGTTACTGTGGGCATGACGCAGGCTAAGGAATGGAAAGTACTTAGTTCCCAGGCCTGAAAATAGTAAGCACTCAATAAGTGCTTGTTCTGATTGCATGGATAGTGCTCTTTGCCCTCTCAGGGGAGTCAGACCCACCTCCTCTGCCTGCTTCCAGCGCCAGCACAGTCTCAAGCTAGCCACTGATGCAGCTCATGAGGCACTGGCCAGACAAGAGGGCTACAGGCCCAGATATTTATGAAATCATTGCAACATCAAGAGAAAGCATTTGGCTTGGGTGCGTGTGGAAATGCCTGTCTTTCTTCTTTAACCATCTAATAACCCTGCCCCTTCCTGGTCCTAATACCACAGTACCCAAACTTCTCCCGCCCAAACACTCCCCTCACCAGGCAGCCATAGGTTGGCCCCCAACTTCTCCCGCCCAAATACTCCCCTCACCAGGCAGCCACAGGTTGGCCCCCTTTGAGGGCTTCACAGTCATCTCTGTGCAGTGCCTTGTCCAGATAAAGTTGCTGCTAATTTTCTCATGAAATGGGATGGTCATTCCCAGGCCTGCCCACAAGGTAGGGCAGGAGCAACCTCCTCTGAGCTCCTACCACCTGGCAGCCTTTCCCACACAATGGGCATCTCTCAGCATCCCTAACCTTTCAAGAGGAAAAGCTCAGAGGCTTTGCGGGAACAAGGGCGAGTCTCAAGAGATCCAGAGAGATCTGAACGGGGTTGCCCTATTTCGCTTTTGCCTTCTCTCCTCATCAAAAACTAAGCCTGCGCCCTCCCTGGTAGTGCAGCGGGTTAAAGCACAGCACTAAAAAGTTAAAGCCACTTCAGCATGAGTTCGATCCCTGCCCCTGGAGGTGACCCACATGGCACAGCAGACCTCTCCTGACCTGCCCAGCAGTGTACTTTGTCAGTTGGCCTGTTCTGCTCCCCATTCTGTCTCTGGTGAATCCTCTTACTACCCCTGCACCTCTGGCCTGTACCCCAGTTCTGTATGCATAAATAAATCTTAAAAAAAAAAAACTTAGTCCTGTGATCTTCCAAACCCAGCTTCCCCCTCCCCATTTTGTCTTCTTTCTGCCACACAATTGTTCTTCTTTATAAAAACATCATATTACATACCCTTTATAAAAACATCATATTACATATTTCCAGCAACCACACCCAACCCCCAGACACAGAGACCCGAGAGGAAGAACTGCTGTTACACCCCTCCTCCTACCAGCAATGCTGGGTGCTGGGGCAAGCCTCGCAGTCACCTCGCGCTGACACCAGCGTCAGAACCTGACATGGAATCAGAGTGTCTGGACAGAAGCCTGTGGGCTCCAGGAGGCACAATAAATACTTGTTGTCTTGACCTAGGGTCTGGTCCCATTTGACTGTTTATCTCTTCGTTATTCTTTAACTCATTCACCTGACCTTCCATACAAATATCTTGCTGGGAAGAGGGACAAAAAAACATGAAGGAAATGGGTAGCAATTTCGCCCCCACCGAGGCTGCCATGGCCCCAGGGGGGGTGGGGTGGAGGAGCTGCTGGCTCACTGGCACACCTGGGGGCGGCCCACCCTGTAGGGAGAGCATGGGGCCCCATAGTAAAAGGTGGCCTGATACCAGACAGAAGCCCCTCCAGACTCCTGAGGGAGAAATGTGAACTGTGGGCCGAAGAAAGAAAAATAAATTTAGTTTAAAATGTGGTTTTTCTTGTTCTCTTTTCTGGGGATTAGAGCTGGGGGCTGAGGTCTGCGGAGCCACAGGCTGGGGTGGGAGGGAAACCAGAAGAGCTCCAGGCACAAGGGAAGGTGTTTTAAAGATGATTGAGAGACCACAGAGCTTGCTTGGGGGGAGAGAAGAGGAGGTTCACTGCTGGTCTTTTCACCATTAATCCTCCCTTCCGAGAATGCAGCGCTACAGGTTTGCTGGGCAGGGAGAAAGCTGCCTGGGTCGCCATGAGCACACTTTCCCAGGTGACCAGGCACTGACAGGTAAAAGCACACCTCAGCTGACCTGGCCCCCTCTTTTCAAGCCTTAACCCTTCATTGTGGCTGTGGGCTGCAGCTCTGGGTTCACCTGGGGCTGACTGGTTTGCAGCGCTGACTGGATTTCAGGCCCGGCCTGGAATTTCTTCACACAATGTCAGGGGTTCTGCAGTCTGTGCTCCCAGGCCCTGGATTTTTTTGGCGGGGACCTTGGCTGGCCTCCGTGACCTTCCTCCTTGGGTCTCTGAGGCCGTTCTCCTTTAGCAAAATATTTTCCCACAGTCTGAAGATGTGTGAAGGAAGCACCTATAGGCCTTCTCTGGGGTTGGGAGTAGTGGTTTTGATCCCCATAGACTCACCCCGGAAAAGACCACAGGGAAATTGTGGTTTGTTATGACTTCCCCCAGACACACTCCAGCTGACTATGAGACACTGAAGTGAAATGTCTGCTGGATAAGTGGGGCAGACAGTCAACCCAGGGGCTGGGCACCCCATGTTCTGGTCTATTTGTTGAATCTGGGGGGGTAGGGGGAAAGTGGTTTCAGTTGATGGCTCCTCTCTTCCTTACTATTGGGATGCTAATTGTGCTCCTACCTGTTGAAGCCCTTCAAGCCTGAGCTCACTGATCTTCCAGCCCACCAGCAAGAATGCAGTGCTGTGATCTGATTTGTAGAGAGCAGCCACCAAACTGCATGTTACTATTTTTGAAAGAGTCAGAATTCAGATACTACCTCCATATACCATCTGAACACCCTCCTGTCACTCCAGGGGAGGGAGAGGTGGAAGGGGCTCAGATGGAGGATCAGATTCTCCAAGGGCCCCCACAAGGTTCACTCAGTCCCCCTTCACCTCTGGAGCCCACTTGGTAGGCACTCACCAGCCAGCTGCTGAATGTGCAGTGAACTGCAGGGAGGATTTTTTAAAAAAGATTTTATTTTATTGCTTTTAAATTATTTTTAAAAGATTTCTATTTATTTACTCATACAAGAACTGGGGTGCAGGCCAGAGCTGCAGGGGAAGTGAGAGGATTCACCAGAGACAGAGTGGGGAGCAGAACAGGCAGATCAATGAAGTACACTGCTGAGGGGAGCAGTGGGCGGGTCAGGAGAGGTCTGCCACGCCATGTCGGCCAGCTCTCTGGCTGGGGATGGAACTTGTGCTGCAGTGGCTGCAGATAGCTTCATAGCACTGTGCTTTAAATCCTTGCACCACCACAGAGAGCCCAAATTTTATTATTTTAGAGCAGTGTTAAGTTCATAGCAAAATGCAGAGGAAGGTGCAGATTTCTCATCTACTCCCTGAGCCCACACATCCTAGCTTCGCAGTTATCAACATCCCTCTGGGTGGTGCATGCAGGGACACAGCTGCCCCCCAAGTCCCTAGTGTACACCTCTACCCATTACAGTTACTCATCATTGTGAGGTTTATTTACATATAATAGAAGCTCCCTGTTATTTCACTTTTTTATTTTTCTATCAATACCAAATGCCTGAAATGCTATTTGGTTTATTATAGATTTTATTGTCTGGTAGGTGTCTCCCCTATTGCTACTTGTTTATTTTTCATGTGATTTAAGTGTTTTCCAGTTTTGAAAGTTCTTTTTGAGATTTTGATGGAAATACCAGCAAATATACATTTAAATTTTATTTTGTGTTATTATTTTCCTTTTTAAGTTTTTAATGAACTAACATTGTATTACATTATATGTGTTTCAGGTGTACATCCTTATAAATCAACATCTGGATGTACTACTTTAAGTTCACCTCTGAAAGAATGTTTCTGTCCTTCACTCTCCAATTTTACATTCTGACCTTCATTTTCTAGTCCTTAAACAGACTCATAGAGCCTTCCATTCCCTCGCCCCTCAATTTTACCCTGGCCCATTTTAGTACTTCTGGCTTCTCAGTACCCTACACATCCTGGCCCCAAATGTGTTAGCCCAGTCACTGCTTTCAACCCCATTATCTCCTGAAACTTCTGCGCTATCTCCCCACAAGGCCCCAGCTCTACTCACCCCACCTGCACTTCCTTTGCCTCTGGCTCTGGGATGCTAAGGATTATTGACGAAATGGAAGAGTTGTACATATTAATGTCATGATAAACATGTGGTCTCTGACCTCCCTGGCTCCAAAATGCTACTTTACCTTGCTTGCATACATATTGTTAGCTTGTGCTCACACTTTGCTCTTAAACTCCCTGCTGTATTCAATCTAGCCTCAAACTTCCCAGACACCACCTCCTTTGGCTTTCCTCTTGCACTCAGCCTGTCTCTGGCCTTAACAGGGATGAGGCCGTTCCTGCCTTCTTTCCAACTTCCTACCTTCTAGAATGGTGGAAGGTAAGCCTCAGTCTACCTCTAGATCAGGCCCCTCCCTCCCTAATGCCTTGACTATCTTTTCCCACCAAAGCTCTCCACTCTAGCCTCTGGGTTGAGTATAGTGAAGCCCACCTGACCTGTAATCCTCTCTGGGTGAGTCCAGAGGATGTGCGTGAGTTGGGACAATGTCCGAACTTCTGTCCATATGCGGCCAAGGTGCTGGCTCTCTGGGGCATTTGCGAGTTTTTGAAAATCTTGATATACCCTTGCCAAGCTGTACAAAAAGACAAAAGCTCATCAATAAATACATACCTGCCATATTAATAACCACAGCATTAATAACTAGTAGTGTCTATTAAGATGCCATGAGCTTGACCTGGCTACTGCATTATCCATCTTTACAACATGCCAAGGTAAAAGGAGAAAGTGATATTTGTTAATTTTTGTTGCACATAGGATAAAGGAAGGAGGGAGGATCAGGGGAAGGGGCAGGATGGGGTCACCTCTCAACCGTGTGTCTCCTGCATAGAGAAGTCTTCACTAGGACATTAGTAGATATTCCCAGAGGTTCTTCCCGGCCATCACCTGCTTCCCTAAGATCTGCCCTTCTAGTCACTCACACAGGTAGATTCTGACAGTGTGCTTCATCCTCATCTTCCTCCTGCATCGCAGGGTACATGCACACACCCCTTTGCTGTGACTCACTGGACAAGAATGAAGATGGACCGGTCAGATTTGTCCCCAGGAATTTGAACAGCACTCAAGACTGTTCCTCTGATTGCCCCAGCAGAGGGGCTGTAAACTGAGAGACCCAGGCCTGCCCGGGCAGTGACACGTGGACGAGACTGGCCTGAGGAGAGAGGTGAAGGCAGAGATGCCAGAGAAAGACAGACTGGACCTTGCATTTCCCATTATGAGAAGCCAGGTCGCTCTGTGAACCTGATTTCTTTCACCCTTGCAGTCCTCCCTGCCATTTTGCTTAGTCTTTTATCTCCAAGAAGACTTTTAAATTTTATTAAAAAATATTTTATTTATTTATGCATACAAGAACTGGGGTGTTGACAAGAGGTGCAGAGAGTGAGGTGTGGTTGGGGTGAGAGGATTCACCAGAGACAGAGTGGGGAGCAGAACAGGCAGATAGACTGAAGTACACCACTGAGGGGAGCAGCAGGTGAGACACAGCAGGTTTGCTGGGCCATGTGGATTAGCTCCCTGGCCAGAGATTGAACTCAGCCTGTGGCTGCTGAGTGCTTCATAGTGCTGAGACTTTAACCCCTTGTACCACCAGGGAGGGCCTCCAAGAAGACTTTTAAAGGAACAGAGATCTCACAGGATTGGCAGGGCAGAGAGATGTATAGGAACAGAAGGAGAATCAAGATTTTCTCATGCAGCATCTCTACCCCAGTCGTTGGATGACCTGAAGGCAGTGGACACATCTCAACAGGATACTGTCGGCAGATGAATCCAGGGTCACAACTTGGGCATTTATGTGCCAAAAATAAGGCCTTAAGTCCTCTGACAGCTCATAGAATGTTCCAGAAGACAAACCTGCCCTGATCCCAAGAAAGAAAGGCCTCAGCAAACCAGAGAAACATCCATTCAGCATTATGTGCTCAGGACAAGAAGAGAAGCGTGAGCTGCCTCCTGCTCCCATGTGGTGGGGATCTCAGCACTTACATGGAGTTGTTATAGTTGGACACAATTTCAGGAGACTCTCCCGGGGTGGGACTTTGAAAACAAGGATTGTTCACATTGCAGAAAATGCCCTGGAGCCATGGCAGCATTCCTGCTGAGGGCATCGCCTTGTTGGGAAAATGGCCTTTGAGACAGAAAATGAAAAAAAGCAGTTAGCCATGGAGAAGGAGCAGGATCCCAGTCCTGGCGCTTGCCTTCAATCACCAACACTGAGGGAGCAGCAGCATCCAACGGAGCCCCGGCCCTGCGCTGGGGCATGAGACAACGTTGCCTCTCATGTCCCCAGTGTAGTGGGGAGACAGGCCACATTCTAATAAAGGTGGGAATGGTGTGCAGAGGTGGGGATGGAGAAGTGTGTGTCCTTTCATGAGAGATGTTCACTCAACAGATGCTCACTCCACAAGGATGGTGACATTTGAGGACTAGGTGCTCTGTTCCACCAACAGTGTGTGCCAAGAACCGATGCCAAAGCTGCAAGAGGCTGGGGTGATGGGCAAGGGTGTGACGGACAGAAGCCTGATGCCAAACTTGGGGCATGGAACACATGCACAAGACGGGGCGGGGGGGCGAAGGGGAGGAGCAAGAATAGGGGACTGAACAGCGCCATCTAACTCCTGAGGTCTCCCCATCAGTCAACTAGAGGGAGGAGATGTCATCTTGATGGAAACCATATGAAAGCACTTTTTATACTCTCCTGGATGGGGAGCATACAAGTGCACTCACAGACTCACCCTAGCTCCCAGGACAGCCTTGGGATCCAAGGAATAAAATATTATTAGGTGTGATGATATAGCATACTCTCTCTCACATTCCTCTGACCATACACCTGTATCCCTAACTTGGTCTCCCAAATGTTTAGAGAACGTATCTATTATCTCCTCCCTTCAAAGGTATCAATACCAAACAAATACCATTTCTCAGTTCTTCAGTAACTATATGCATGTATTTACACAGAATGTGTAGAATAAAAATTTAGACTATGTAATACTGATGTAGCTTTTTTCAGCATTATGAACATGAATAAGCAGATTCAATCCTGGCACCTGTAACCCCAAGACCTTTGTAACAAAAGGATCGGATCTCAGGTTTGCCAAGGCTCCCCCCATACCGTACCCCAGCATGCTTACATTCATGTTGGCTGTAGAGGGGATTGACATTCCTTAGCCAGATCAATACCAGAAATAAAGACAGGGGCCACATGAGTTCCACCACAAAGCGCATCTGGAAAAACAAAGCAAAAAGAAAGACCAGCGATGCTAAAATATTCCTGGAAACATTCCCAGAGCAGACACTTCGCCCAAACACTGGTCTGTGCGATGAGAACTTGGGCTGGGGTATATGTAACAGAGGGATTTTCTTCCTTTACCCTCTCTCCCATGCTAACTTTTCCTTGCATTAACAAGTTTTGGTGTCCATCTGGGTCCTACCTTGCCTCTATCTGAGAAAATGGGGTGGGGGAGGTTGGAGGTATGAGATTGGCAGGGATTTTGAGAGTAGGGTATGGATTGTGAATTGTTCATCTATCCAATCACCCTTCAGAGATTTTAGGAATAAAACCCATAAAATCTAAAGGCGAATTTAAAAAGGTAGCCTAAAAGAGATACTTAAATATGCAGGCTTATCCCTGTTGTCAGAAAGTAGAATGCTCCTAAAGAAACTTCCTGAAGTTGATTGCTGAGTAATATTCCATTGTGTATATGTACCACATCTTGATCCAGTCATCTATTTGGGGGGCATTGGGATTGATTCCTATCTTCCTTGTTGCAAATAGTGCTGCAATAAACAGAGGGGTGCAGGTAGCCTTTTGAATTAATGTTTTTGTGTCATTTGGGTAGATTCCTAAGTGGAATTGCTGGATTGTATGGAAGCTCTATTTTTAGCAGTTTGAGAAACCCCAAACAGCTTTCCATAGAAATGGTGTAAAGAAGCAATTGTCGTTAATTTGTACGGGGGAAAAAAAAGTAATCCCAGACTCTCAGAATAACTGACCAAATTACACATAAAATCTAAAACATTACTATATAGTAAAATATGGAACTAGATAGAGGGGATTATATGTATAGGGATGATGTGATACACAACCTGTACAAAATAGTTCCCAGGGAGAGAAAAGTGAACCTTTGAAAAGTGAGGAATACCGGTTTATACATCAGCCAGGGGCCATTCGCATGTCTTTTTACCCTTTATTTCTAAAGAAAAATAGATACATTTGGCAAAATGGTGGACACATAGCAGGGGCTCAGTAATTGTTCCTTTCATGCTAATAAGCTCCACTGGCAACCCAATTATTACTCATCATGACAGAAATGAGTGAGTATCATGAGGATCACGTACTATTTAGGGCAAGCGCTGATTATGTAGTTGTAACTTTTTGAAAAATGTTTTATCAAAACAAGTCTGGGAAGAGTTTTTAGAAACACAGAGACATTAGAGGACTAATGAGGGGGCTCATTTTTCAGGATTGCTTCCTCCACATTCTCCCACATGCTAGCAAAACCCCAATATTGAACAATTTCAATCAGGAGTTAAGGGACTGACCCCAGTACACTTGGGAGTCATTGAAATGCAGATAGTTTCTGAAAGGCACGGGCACATCACTGGAGGTGAGCTAAGCCTCTTTCCCAGCATCCACCTTGCCACTCCCATCCTCCCCCACCATAGCACTCACACACCCCCAGCTTATCACTTGTCATACTTGGGGGTCAATTCTTCCCCATGTATGTGGCTCCCTCACTGATGATAAGCTCCCTGAGGGCAGGGACCACCTTTGGGCTTGTCACTGCTTTGCTTCTAGCACCCAACACAGTGCAGGGCTCATACGAGGTGCCCCAAAATGTCCAAGGCATGCCTGCTGGCTTGATGCCTCCCATCCCAGCTTCTCCTGTCAGTGGGTAGTTAGGAAACAAGATTGACAAGTTAGCAATGTGAGTAACAAATCAAGTGCTGAATCAGGAAGTTGTTCTGGAGATTTCTCCAAGGAATGAGGCAATCAGTTCAAGTTCTACACACTGATGCTTCCTTAAGCAAGTTTTGGCAACCCTGGATTTCTACCAGTACGTCAGCTGTCTACCACGTGGCAGTATCTGGCTGGGAGTAGTCTGATGCACTAGACATTGATATTGACCAGGGAACAGGAAATTCTGGGCTAAGAATCACTCCAACTTCAGTTTTCTCATCTATAAAATAGGGTTATTTTATCCTACAATGTACACTGAGGTTTAAGAGTGTCAGGGCTGTGGTTCGTAAATAACCCTGCTCCCTATTAGTTACATAACTGTGCCTCAGGGTCTCATGTATAAAATGAGAGTGATACCAGGACCTACCATCCCAATAAGGATAAAGTGAGTTAACAGTGTCGAATACCCAGAGCAGAGTATGGCACAAGGTTACCATCTAGAAACAGGAATCATTCACAACTGACCCTCATTTCTTAAAAAGGTCACAGGAAGATTGCAGCTGGTGAAAGCTGAAGGGCAGGGAGATAGTTAAAATTATCTGCAGACTCCCAGGCCTGTGCTCCAGTCACTTAACACATTTCCTTATCTTACCCTTTCCAGATCCCTGCTATGTGCCAGTTTGGAAACCTGGGACTTGCTGAGAAAGCACACACAGGGGAGGAATGTGCCCACCTGGGCTGTGGGTGATGTTCCAGAGCTCAAGGTAATGCATCTCATCCTTCGATGAGCCCCTAACACGGCCCCAGGCTCCTCTCTGCATCGCGTCCCTTGTGTCCGGCAGGTGTCCCTCACGCTCATCTACTCACTCCTCAGTCTCCTGTTTTTGGTCTTTGCAAGATCTCTAAGGTGTGGTGACTTAGAGTCCTCCCATCAGCAGGGAGCCACAGGCCCATTCTCTTTCCTCCTTCACCTTTGCTTGGCCTTAGGACTAGCACTTCACCTCCAAATTAGGGCTCTTTCTGCCTGTCACCCCTGCCCCTCTGCGATCACCAGCGCTCCATCCACTACACCCATGTCTCATGGGACATCAATTTGTTTTTTTCTCAACACAGTTCAGATAATTCCAACGTGCAGCTGGGACTGCAAGCCACTGGTGTAGATAGTGCTTGGGGATCTCTGGAAGACATTTGTTGAGCGGTGCGTATTATTCTAACGCTGCATGGGTTTGTTTTGGAGGGAACGGGTTTCACACAGCACTCCCTGCACAAAGACCCCTGGCAATTCTTTCGCAGCCCTCAGTTCCTCCCTGCAACCTCTTCTCCCCTCAGAGAATCATGCTCGGCGCCCCCACCCACAGCAGGGTTGTCCTTGATGCTCAACTGTGGGCAGCATACCCTAGGGAGAAATTCCACAGTGTAATTAAAAACATGTTTTCAGAGCAGCTCTGACTCCCCCTTTAAACATGTCTGTAACTTTAATTAAGCCCAGCCGAAGCTCAGAAGGGGCCTGTGGAAATTTTTCCCCCTCCAAACTGGTATTTCCTTGTTCTGTCTTTTTTTTTTTTTTTTTGCTTCCCCTCCCCCTCTCTTTACCACTCCATCTACGTGGGGGAGGAGGGGTCGCAGGGAAGGGCAGAGTTGTACTTGCTCTAAATCTCAGCCAGTTCAATTTTCTTCCCTTCTGCTCTGTTTTCAATTTAAAAGGGGGTAACCAAGGCTGGAAATGAGCAGCCGTCTTCTCTGTTCTGCACCGAGAGCCCAGACGAGGTGTTCAGCCTGGAGGAACGGGACGCAGAGCCCAGGTCCCCTTAGAGCTGGCTGCCCAGTGTCCACGCACCTGCCCAGTTCTTGCATTTGCACAGACCAGGTGCCCAGGTCGGGGTTCAGGAACATGATAGACCCTCTACTCTCCTGAGTCCTCAGCCTCCCTAAGTACCCTGGGACAGAGGACACACAGGAGCCCTAGACAGAGTTGTCAGGATCAAGAGCCTCACCTCATGCTCTTTATAAACCCTCCCTGACACGGTGCTGGCCCACAGCCATCAGGCAGATGTGTATTTGCCAGTGGGGAAAGGGTTGGTCACTGCAAATGCACATTTCAGGGGTGAACGCCTTGAGGAGTCTTCTCTCACCCACCCCAACCCCCGTTTCTCTTTGGCACTCCCAGATCTCATCCTGTCTGCAAGACTGTACTGCCTTCACCTCCACTGTCACACCGCTCTTTCTGTTGGGTCCCTTGTGAGGGTAGGGCTGTGTCTAACTCAGCCACCTGAATAGGAGGCACAGGGTGACCCACAGGCAAGTCTGCCAGTTAGTTTGCATTAATCATTAGTTTATATTAATTGTGTTAGTTTATATTAATTGCTCCCTGGAGTCAATTAATTTTCAAAAGTATTTTCAAAACTGCCCTGGTGTGGATGATAAATGAAGTGACCGCCCTATCTTTGTGGTCTTCATGACCAGCCTATTAGCTAGGGCTTGGCACATGGGGGCAGAGTGGGGTCTGTTTGCCTGCCCCAAAGCCCCAGTTCCAGCCCCCCACCCCTTAGACACTAACCCTTTCTGAAGTCTCGGTTACCTCATGAGTGTTCCTGGGATGACAGTGGTATCTTTCTCATGGAGGGTTAAATGAGGTGACAGTACAGTGCCAGGCACTGCGTAATACTTTATAAATGTTAATAGAGGAAGAAAAAAGACGGAGGGAGGGAAATAGAGATCTGGAGATTTTCATTGTATGTCCTTCGGGATAGGGAGAGAAGAAACGGGGAAATTTGGTGTCTGCTTTCACTCTTGCTCACAATAGTAAATATCCCAAACTTGGAACGTTTGAGGAGTTAAAAACCTAGATGCTGAGTTATGGGCTGGGTGTGTTGTGCGTTTATTAGTCATCATTTTGTAGAAGCAGAAACTTTCAGAATAACTAAAAGCCATGGAAGGTGCCACAGACCCCTCTTAGAGATACTGGGGTTGGGGGGGCAGAGGGGAGAGGAGTGACTGGGTGTTATCCGGGCAGCCTGGAAATAAAGCATTGTTCAAAGGACAGTACTTCAGACAGTGCCAAAGAGACCCAAGGCTGGGGGAGCCGTCACTGTGAATTCTCACCTGTGCGCTCACAACTGCAAGACAAAAGTTGAGGGCTAAACCACAACGGGGTCTCATTAATAAATGCGAGATGGGGAAAAGGAGTTTCTAAGGGCAAATGGCTGCACGTCTCACTACATTGTCCGGTGGCCATGTGAGGGCTGCTCATTCAAGATGGCACCTCCCTCCGGTGGGGCTGGAGCCGCAGGCTGCTGGCAAGCAGGCGGGGCACCATTTAACGCCTGCCCTGTGGTGCCTACGCCACAGCAGCCAGCAACACCTATTGGAGGATGAGGCTGGCCTGGGCCAGACGCCAGAATGGACAGCACCAGCAGCCAGAGGCTGGGCCAGGGGATGAGAAGTGTAGAGGGACAGAAGGCAGCACAGCCAGTGGTGCCCGGCAGGGCAGCAGCCGTACAGCTCTATGTAGGCTACCGGCCTTTTAGAGACAAGGCACAGGCCAAAGGGCGCCGGCCAAGGGTGCTGACCAACTGAGGGCCCCACAGGAGCAGTGTTGGGCAGCAGTGTGAAGCCCAGATAAGATGCAGCTGTCTCTGAGGGTTCCAGAGGGCTCCGGGGGTCTCCAGAAGGCTCCCATGTTTTCCCCTGGAGGCCCAGAGGAGTTTTCTTGATGAGTCTGGACCCCAAGGTCTGAATGATACTAATGGTTGGCACCCCTGGCTTGTAGCCCTGCCTTTCAAGCCCAACTGTGCCATTTACCATCCTGTTTGATTGGTGCCGGTGAAGCACCAATCAGCTCTGCCCATTTCTCTAAGATGTATTTACTTATGCATACAGAACTGGGATACAAGCCACAAGTGCAGGGGCGGTGAGAGGATTCACCAGAGACAGTGAGGAGCAGAAGAGGCAGATGGATGAAGTACACTGCTGAGGGGAGTAGTGGGTGGGTCAGGAGAGGTCTGCCCCGCCTTGTGGGGATCTGGGGTGGCGATTGAACTCCCACTGAAGCGGCTGCGGTCAGCTTGCAGTGCTGTGTCCTAATCTGTTGTGCCACCAGGGGAGGGCCCAAGCTATGCCCATTTCTAACTCCTGTGCCAGAGGGGAACCCCAGCCTGCGCATCCAGACCTGGCCAACCAGGAGGTCTGGACAGGCTCTTGGTTGCACACTCAGGATAGTTGTGGCCAGATGCTGGGCCCTGGGCCAGGTGGATGCCACTGGAGCTGGGCCTGGCGGTAGACTGAACACAGCACCGGTATATAGCTCCTTCTCACCCTAAGGTAGCAGCAGCTATGCGGTTTCTGTTTCAGAAATACCTGGAATGTGGTAGCAGGGGAAGCCAGCAGGAAGAGATATACCAGACACAGTTCTCAACTTCCAGGCCATCAGGATGGCATGGAAAGAAGGCAACCCAGACTGGCTCCACCCAGGAGATTCCCCAGCCAAGGCTCTCAGCCTGAATGAACCCATCTCACCATAGAGGTGCAGCAGTGTGTTCCTTCAGGGAGCATGTTGCAGAGAATACAGGCCCTGAACAGGGGACACCCCTCTGTGAGGGGGGTCTGTGACCAACCCAGTCTGAAAATAGCATTTTTCTCTAGGACAGCAATAGTGGGATCCACTTGAGGCCAACAGCTACAGTCCTCATGGATATTTTTGAGGATGCACAAAGGCACACTGAGAATAAAATGAAGGTGAATCCTAATTCTAATGGGGAGAGAAAGAGGATTCGAGGGAGAAAGAGCAGGAGAGAGAGATTCCATATCAGATTTCCAATAGACTATAAACTCTATGTAGGCAGAGAGGTGCCCCAGCCTCGTTTGCCACTGTGGAGCCAACCCTGGCACAGTGCCAGGGTTTAATAATATATGTTGACTGAAAAACAAATGAAAAATGAATGAATCTAAGGAGTCTTCTAAAAATTTTTGTCTTCATTCTAGAAGGGAAGCAAGATATTGAGGCTCTGACCAAGAGATACTTCACTGCTAATCTGTGTGGACACCAAAGGTTAATGCCAAAGGAAAGTCGTGGTGTTCCCATGTTAGGGGAGTTTCCTATCTTGGTCTTTCCTTCCAGCCTCCCTGTGCCCTAGGCAGGCCACACAGCAGAGAGGACCATCTGTGCACACGGCTGCTTATGTTGCTTGCTGCTCTGTTTTGTGCTAGTTAATAAGCTACCGTCCCAAGCCACCAGCCAGCTGGGGCTCCCTTCCAGGGGGTCTGGGTATGAGCACAGGCTCAGAGACCCCAGCAGCAGGCTCACTGGCCCCTTCCTCACAGGCCTAGGATTCTGTTCTACCCACATCTCCTTTGTGTTTCCAAGTCTTACTTGGCATTTTTGCTTCTCCTGTTTCCCTCCGTTCTCAGTTCTCAGAGTGGTAGTTTCATCCTGCATTGTTATGTCAAGCATTTGCTTTTACCCACTGAGTTTCCTCTCAGCTAACACTTTTTTATATTAGGTTCTGTGACTGGACCCTGACTGAGACAATCATAGGCCTTCAGATTGCACTGGTTAGCTTCTCTTCCTGAACATTCCTCCTAGCAGCTCCAAAGACCCTGTCTCGCCTACCTAAGCCCAGACCTGAACTGAGGTTTGGAACAAGCCTTACTCTTCTTCCCCACAGCTTGTGAATCTGAACTCTCCCTGCCTTGCTTGGCTCCTGTCTTTGTAACCTCAGCCCTGTCCACCCTCACCCAGATCTTCCTCCAATTCCAGCACCTTTAGTCATTTCCAGGCTGCTGCGAAGTTGTAGGAAAGTACATTATTTCTTCATCATCTTATAACCACTTTTCACCCCTTTCCAGAAAAAAAAATGTAGAGGCCAGTTGGCATTTACACATATACCCTTGGGGTCCTCTGGCCTGCTGTGTCTCTTGGGAGTATCTGGCTTTCACTGCTTTCTTGCTCTCAACATCCAATTTGGATTTTTCCAGTCAGCAAAGAGGTCACTGCAAAGCACAATCTGTGGCTTTCGTTACTAGGCCCCTGGTGCTGTCCCTTCCTGTGTCTGCTTGTTGAGGGGCTCGTAGATGTCCGGTGGTGGTTGGTAAGCCATTGGATCTCCCTGAATCTAAGAGGCCACCGATTGTAAGAGACGCTGTGAGAGTTTGCAGGCTACAGAAGAGGAAAAATGTCCAGTTTATCTATGACATGATTGTGTTTTGTGTGTCAATTTCAGGAAGGTGAGAAAACCCGAGCCTCACAGAACCAGCATTGCAGGCTGGGAAGCCCTTGCAGACCATTATTCTGTTTGAGTGAACCATGGGCACTCAAGGCCATGTGGACAGGCCTGGCCCAGGGGGTGATGGAGTGGAAGTGTGGGGAAAGACATAGCAGACAGTGGATTCATAGGCAAGGTGGGCAAAATAAGATGCAAATGTGATGGCGCTGGGCTGTGGCAGGCAGCCTCCAACTCGGGACAGAGAAGCCCATTTCCTGAGAAGGACTCATCAGAGAGGCTCACCCCACTCTACACTTTCTACCCAGACACATCTCAATTTGAGGCTACAGGCTGCACCTATTACCTTTTGTCTCTTCCGCAGGGTCCAGTTCTTCCAGAGCAAAAGCTGGATCTGTCTCGCAAAGCCCATGCCGGAGCCCCGGAGCTCTCTCTGTCCTTGTCTTCGGCCACGACTCAGGCCACGATGGACAGAAATGCTGCTGCCAGCACCTCCAGCTGAGCCTGCTGTGTCCTTTGCTGGGAGATTAGAGGCTAGTCTGCCCCTTCCAAGCATAATCCTTTTAATTACACATAAGCCCTTTGTGTAGCAAAGCAGGCAGGCATTCTGTTGGCCCCTTTTCAGAAAGAGAAATATAGACGCAAGTGCTGGGCACTAAGTAAATCGAGATGGGGGCATGTGCGGAACACAAGATCCTCAGATTCCTTCCTCCACCGAAAGTGGTTCTTGGGGCTCCTAAAGGGGAATCTCTGAACTTTCAATCATGGGACAAAATCTGCATAAATATAGGCTCTGGGCTTTGTCTTCCGCAATAGCTGGTCCTGAGCCAGCGTCTAGTATTTGATGGCTCCTTGAACCCCAGTCCACTCATTTGCCAGATCTAAAATGATCTTTCCTTTTTTAGCCCGCTATTTTACTCTTTTTTTTTTTTTAAGATTTATTTATTTATGCAACAGAGCTGGGGTACAGGTCAGAGGTGCAGGGGCAGTGAGAGACAGAGCGGGAGCTGACCAACAAAGTACACTGATGAGAGGAGCAGTGGGCAGGTCAAGAGCGGTCTGCCACACCATGTGGTCACTTCCCAGGCTGGGGAGTGAACTCGTGCAGAAGTGGCTTTAGCTTCTCAGTGCTGTGCGTTAACCTGCTGTGCCACAAGGAGGGCCCCTATTTTGCTCTATCTTTGGGGCATCTATGTGGGGGCATCTCTGAGTTTTGTGGCTAGTAAGTGATTTTTATCTCTGTGTTAAAATTGATCAGCCTTGCTGTGGTTACCTGGGCTGTGCAGAAAAAGTTACTGGGGCACTGCAGTCTCAGCAGGACAAAGGTCACATCTGACCAGAGATGGCTGACACAGGCTGGGCTTGGGGAGAGGCCATGACTGGGCCAGTGATTGTCATTCTAGCTCGCAGCAGGTGGAATGACAATCATTATTTGGTGGTAGACCCACCATTTCAAGGGAATGGTGGATATACCCAAAAAGAAGACTCCTTGCTCCTTTCCCACTGGGGACATTTGGTTCTGCCTCCTATAATCTCAGAAGTTTCTTTTCTTTGAAATACTCTATAGTCTTGAGAGGTGATCGGCTGAAGGGAAAGTTAGAGTAGGCAAACATGATGACTTCATGGAGCTCCAGGGCCTGGTTGTAGACATAAGACCTGAACTTGAACAATTTAAGGGCACTGGTGGAAGCAATAGAGATTTGAGCTGTGCAAGCCAGGCTTCTGTGAGGAGGAAGTGGCTTCTGTTTAGGAAATCACAAAGACTTCTTGGAGGCGACTGAGTGGCATCGTAGATAGAATTGTAGACAGACAGGCTTTGATGAATCACCAAATAACATATTATGGCTTCCAAACTGCTTTTGTATATGTCATTTTATCCATGCTAAATTTTACAAGATAGATATTTGTTCTATTTTACAAAAGAGGAACCTGAAGTCTATGGGATTAAATACTTTGTTCAGAGTCACACAGGATAAGGGTGGGCTCTAGAATGCGTGACTTAAGCCCAGGAAACCTTGAGAAGAGAAGCTCAGTGGGGTGTATACAGAAGAGAGCTGGAAGAGGAGGCTAGGCAGGGAAACAGGGACCAGGCTGGAGAACTGATGATTAGCATTGACTGTGAAGGTATCTGTAAGTTGTCCATAGGTGCAGGGCACTCCCAAACAGGAGTGAGTTTTGTGCAGGGCCATGAAGACCTTGCTGCACGCAGGGAGAATCTCAAGCAGGAGGCTGTAGTAGACTTTAATGCAGTGGCTGCAAGAGTAGCAAGTTCACTGACAGCAGTGTGGCTGGGGGCTGGGGGACAGGAAGACCTGCACAAAGGCAGGGCAAGGGGACACTGGAGGGTAGGAGAAGGAGACACAGCTGGACTGGGTGACTTCATTGAAGTGCGTGGTAAAGAATGTCTGGGGTTTGTGGCTTGGCTGGCTGGATAGAGATATGGGCTTACTGACAGGGGGTGGTGGCAGAAGATGGCCTCTGGAGGTGGGAGGAAGTATGAGAGAAGAGGGACTCTGATATTTTGAGGTCCCTCTGGTGACATCTGGTACTGAGCTGCATCGGCACATTCGAGAGCCATCAGCATATCGACAGAAATTAAGCTTCAGGAGTGGCTGAGCAGATTCCCCAGGGAGGACACACTGGGCCAGTGTGTGAGTTGCCACAGGTGAGCCACAGCTGCCAAAAGAATACACTTTCTGCCAATTTCCAAAAGGAATTAGAAGGTTGTAGTCATCAGATAGCAGCTATGCAAATTGCATTCTGCTGTAGTTTTGAAATAATACATTTTTCATCAAGTTACGATTCAACTGATGATACCCCAATTTCCATCTTGTTCTCACAAATGTGTTTGCTGATGTTGATACTCTCCTTTTCCACTTGCGATAAAATACACATAACATAAAATTTATCATTTTAAGTATCCAGTTCAGTAATATTAAATGCATTAACAATGTTATTGATCTATCACCATGGTTCATCTCCAGAACATTTTTCATGTTGTAAAATGGAAATTTTGAAACCATTATACACTGACCTCCCATCCCCCCCATTTTTTCCTCTCCTTCTTCTGGCAGAACCATTCCACTTTTCTCTATATCTAAATTTGGCTGTGAGGTATACCCACAGAATCATACAGTGTGTATTCTTTGGTGTCTGACTTATTTCATCTAGTACTATTGTGAAAGTTCATCTTTCCTTTTCACTGCTAGGTAATATTTCATTTTCTCCAAACACATGTGTGTGTATACAAGTCATTTGGATTGTTTGTACTTTTTTGACTATTATGGCAATACATTTGTTCAAGTCTCTGCTTTCATTTTTTTATATACCCAGGGTATATAGTACGTCTATATTTAATTTTTAAGGAATTACCATACTATGTTCCATAACAGATGTACCATTGCACTTTCCAATTTACAGCCAACAAGGATTCCAATTTCTCCACATCCTCATTAATACTTGGTATTTTCTGTTTGTTTTATTTTTAATAACCCTCCTCACTAATATGAAATGGTATTTCACTGTGATTTTGTTTCCCTAATGTTGAAGGCACTTATTCTTTAAATATTATAGCTATATTTAGGTATGATTCTTACCCTCCCCTTTGGAAACTATAGTTGTTTACAATTTATGTCAAAATAAAAGCCTATGTTCTTAATACCCTCAAATATTTCTGAGTATATATCTGCTTAGTCAAGAATGGTGTTGACAGTTGCATATTTCATTCCCATAAGTACCATCATTAACATGAATTTGGGGTGTTAAGTCTGGAATTGCTGTAAATGTCTTAACACATGGTGGTTTCCCGCAAGGGGCCAACACATGGGTCATGAAATTATATGAAGAACCACAGTGACTGCGTTTACCTATCTACAGCAGTACAAATATGTCAAGGCAAATGGTGAAGCTTAAAAATTACTGATATCCTCAGTTCTAAAAGGTTAGAATGCAGAGTTACCAAGGAAGAGACTCTGTTACCACAGTTATTTTGCCAATGAAAATCCAGTAGTGTAGAAAAATAAAAAGTTCAGAGCCCTCCCTGGTGGCACAACAGGTTAAAGCTCAGCACTGAAGCTAGCCACAGCCACTTGAGCAGGAGTTTGCTCCCCAGCCAGGGAGCTGACCCACATGGCACAGTAGACCTCTCCTGACTCGCTCACTGATTCCTTCAGCAGTGTACTTCACCAATGTGCCTGTTCTGTTCCCCACTCTGTCTCTGGTGAATCCTTTCACCGCCCCTGTACCTCTGGCCTGTACTCTAGTTCTATATGCATAAATAAGTCTTTAAAAAATAATAAATATCTCCAGAAAATTTCTAAATTAAATGAGTCAAATCACTGTAATTTTGGAGTGAAGATCAATTTGAAGATCAGTAAGTACCAATAGGTAGTCATCAACACTGAAACAAATTAAGGAAAATAGAATGTTCTCCAAACATAACAAGGACCACATTACATTTTTTTTTTTAAAAAGCAGTTACAGATAAGGTGGGAAGCAGGATAGCATAAGTATGAAAGCAGTTCTGAACTTGATAACATGAGATAAAGGGAAAAAAATCTTGATTTCTAAATTTGAGTTGATTCTTACAAATTCAAAACAAAATCACTGGGCAGTCAAAACCTGAAACCCAATCATCACAAATAACATAAATATTTGCCCTGCTTATTCAATGACATTTGATAAGCTAGTAGTGGAATAAATGCACAAGCATTACTTTATGAAAGTTACTCATAGAAAAACAATCCAGTACTGGGTGGAAGCTGCCAACAGCTGGTTGCCGGCTGCACGAAGATTTGCTCTTGCCTGGGAGGGGCCCTGATGCCAAGGGAGAGGTGTGCACTAGACTTGTGCACGCTATAGGTCCTCTTGACTCTGCCCTAGCTGACTGGTCATGAGGGGTTACCTGAACTTAACTGGACGGCTCAGAACCTGGTCACATGGGGCTGCCAGAAGCATGAGTTCATCATTGCAAGCTGTGAGAAATCAGAGGTCACGCTGGGTCACTAGATTCCATTTGTACTCTGCACCAGGTTCCCTGGGAGAAGAGAGGATTGGGGTGAAAACTCACATGCTTTTGCTGACCAAACCTTGAGCCCTGGTATAAGGTGCATCCAAGAAAAAGGAGTGTCTTTTTCTTTTCACAAATGCCTTCTGCTTCCAAGCTATGCAACTGTGAGGCTGCCTCCACCCAGAGAAGTGCCTTTTCTAACATATACAGAAGTGACATTACCAGCTAGCAGAGGCCCCAAGGCTGTGTACCCCACCACTGGGAGAAATCTGATCTGCAGTAAACCGGAATGAGGGGAATGCAGAGAGGCAAGAGCATGAGCTGCAGCTGTGTCCTTGCTTCCAGCTGTCCTGGGGATACAGCTGCTCCCCTGCTGTTCTTTCAGGCAATTTAGCTGAAGACAC